TACTTGATTATATAAAAGCACAACTACAGCTACTTTACAGGGATAAAATATAATTTGTATTCTTTGTTTTTGTTTCTTTGTTATTATTCATTACTAAGCTTTAATTGTATTACGTAATATATATATATATATATATATATATATATATATATATATATATATATATATATATATATATATATATATATATATATATATATATATAACGTGGATTTTCAGAACGTGTTTATGGAGACGTACGCTGGACTGTGCTAAACATTTGGAAAACAAGCTATGCAATAATAGACTATTTGACAGTAACGGAGAAAGAGGTAAAATAAAAGAGTGGCAGCAGATATCTTGAAGTCCATGTTAAAAAAGATCAAAAACGAGTAGCAGTACAGGGAATATTTTGGCCTGCCTTGCAAACCTATAGTTTTCTTCTTTCAAAACACACGTTCAATGTTATTCTGTATGTAAGTCCTTCATTGCTTTTTATTTGCATACAGTTCTGCCGGGGGTAAATTCATGGGAACTATTTTTATACACATTTTTAAGGTCTATTCTTCTTGTCTCGAGACAGCTATCTTGAAGTTGTATCCAGGCAGGGAGGTGGGGAGGGGGGTTCAAATTTGGGTGGTCGAAGGTGACGGGAAAGCTGAGAGGTGGTCTCCACTCTAATTTCAGTAATTCTTCATTAAGCATTTACCAGTTAGCTGTATTTTCTGTTCTGATAATATGATAATGCAATATTTCTGCTGAGTCAAATGGGGGAACAGTTGGTCTTCTTGTTTCTAAAAATAAAAACTCTGTATAGATATTTTTTTTCAATTTCTTCTTGCGTGAAGCTACATATATATTGTACATATTCCTAAAATCTGGCCTTGATTTTGACTTTCTGTATAGTATTTGATATGAATTCTTCAATTGTAAATATGTCTTTTTTTGTGACTAAAATTGACTAATGGTAACAAATTAATTATATTGCCATTAACTAGTGCCCAATTTTAATGAAATTGCGTTGTTAGGGACAATTTTCTGAAGAATATATACATCCTGCCCACTTTGTACTAGCAATATTATTCAATAGCCTGGCAGTGAATACGTTTCTTTTTTATTTAATTTTTATTATTGTGTTCAGAGATAAGAAGAAATAAAAAACAATTTTATTGCACCTACGTATACTTTAATTGATAATTTTCGCTTGCCGTAAAGTGTCGCGAAAACATGACAATTTACGATCTGTAACCATGGTTACCGCTATCTTGGCTCGACAAATTAAAAATTTGATTGAAAACTGGGCTTCTGATACGGTTATGGGAAAAAATGTATAACCTTGTCAATTTTTAATAAATCATTCACTCACTGAAATATCTTTTCTTAAATAAATAAATACAAGCATCTCCCATCTCATGTAAACATTTGCCGTGTTTTATTGGCTAAAATATGTACAGCTATAATAATACGATTTTAACATCTTTCGTAGCAAAGTAATATTTTGTTTCCATTCTCGTTTTTTTTTCTGTGTACACAATCATGTGAATATGTACAATTTTCTAAAATGTTGGGACATTTTTTGCCTTCTCATGTGGAGACAATGTCACCTTTACAGATTCCTAACATCATATCGTTGCTGTCATCTCACACCATACTACGTAAATATTCAAGCACAAGCGATGATATTTTTTTATTATTATTTTCAAAATAAACTGCTCACTGTCTGCTTGATATTTGGATTATATTAAACCTAGTAGCTCATTGGGTTAATTAGTTTAACATCTTTCAATTGATAACAGATTCAATCCTGTCATTTGGATTATCATTTGGGTTTTGAACTGATTGTATTCTGTCAATCAGTTTCACAAATTCCCATTTTGTGGGACAATGTGACTTTTTGATGTAATTAATTGAATGATATTTTTTGTCGCCAAAACTGATCGTTCAATAAAAGCTGTAAAAAATAACGACTCTTATTATTATTATACGTAATACCTTTATACATACTATCTCATTACTATCTGAGAACACAGGCCACATGCACCCTCCGGGATTAGATGATGTTGTTGACGAGGGTCCATCTTTCGAATTGGTTTCCATGGAAAAGAAAAAAAATATGCCGATAAAAACTCGTGTCGTTTTCTTTGTAATCAAATGAACTGATGCCATTATCCTGGACGTCACGGGCCAGCGTGATACACCAACCTATTGTCAGAAACACGGAATAGTAAAAAGAATATACGAGAATAAAATAAATACAGAAATTGCTTAAAGGTTTTTTGGGGGTGATAAATTACTTGGGGGGGGGGGAATCGAGATTATTAAAAGGTATCGTATATTTTATTACACTGTATTTCGTATTAGACTTGAACCAAACTATACTGATAATTTACACATGCTGGATAACAACACGGCAAAAGTTGAGATAATTACTAATATTACGTAAGACAATGTCATATTACAGTATTAGTTTTATTAGTACAGGTTTTAACATATGTAGATGGTCATCATATGTCGTACATCCGGGTACATTGAATATCATATGTAGTACGTGACGTGAACTAAGTGAATAACCGGACAAGGTAGTGCATGAACTGTGGTGTGAATGATTCTGTAACCAAAAACATATGGTCAGGGTCACTGAGTCTTGCCAACGTTGAATACGTTGTCACAGTGGGTTGTGGGAGGAGGAGCGACAATGATAATGGTCACGTGAAAACGCTCAATGATGGACGATAACTCAAGCCTGTGGAGACGTAGCTCAATTAAATATCTACGACAAGAACGCCTTAGCGTTTTTTTTATCAAAGTCATAAATTTATAATATTCCATTGGTCTGTAATTTAGTGTAATCGCTAAATCATTATCCATGGCGTAATGATTATCCTTCTAAATGTAGTCAACTCGAATTACACATATTTTGCGTAATCGCAACATTATTTAGCGATGCTTGATATGTGTACGACTTTAATTTATTCTGGGTTCGCATACAAATTTACAGGGAACACATAGACGACGCAAGTGGCACTAATAACGGGTGGCGAAGGAGTGCACTGCATACTAAATGCGGCATACCTAGCAAAGTGTCCTAGCTACGTCGTTAGAATAGTATCACAAACATTACATTCACCTAAAAACGTTGTTCTAAGGCAAACATGTCTTTTTTACTGGTTAAGTTTAACCCGTACGTCTATCGAGGAATCTGTTTCGTGCGTGGTATGACGGCAAGTGACTGCTTTCGCTTGATCAGGTGTTGTTTATGAGGAACCGTGCTTTCTTGGAATCACTGTATCTATGACAACAGTCGACCAAACCTCAGCGGTGACATCAATAAGTAACGACATGTTATAATGTACAAATTCGAGCTACATTCTGTAATAGCGCATGGAATTAAAAAAAATAGTGTATTAATAAACAACATATATCCATCTCTTCTGTGGTGAAAATTGAACATAATTTACGTGTATCGTGCTTTTCTACTGAACCGTTGCTGGACAGGATTAAACATGTTTTATGAACCGTTTTTATCAGCGACAATGTCAAGCTATTGTCTATCTATCTAGATATCTAAGAAACACATGATTGTACACTATATTTCTGTCATCTGAGCCATGTTCAAAATTAATTATATTTTTTTCAAGATCACAGTAAATGTAGTAATATCTAATTTGGTTCCGGAACTAAATGTAATGTTTACATTGCGGCGTAGAAAGAATAAACAAATCTGAGCCAGATAATAGATTCATATTATTATTGCCGTCTTCCCAATTCGAATTTTGCTACATTTCCTCATCTAATATTTCTTCAATTTGCAATCGTACCTATTATGATGATATTGTTACCCATAGCAACATACATCATTCAACCACCGCCCACGCGCGTCACAGGGTTTTTGCATTCACAACAAGCAACAAGACGGACTCCGTGCTCGTCAAATTGTGTCTCTGTAATAAATTCTTGGCATGTTTTGTTTTAT